GGAAAAAGTAACTGTGTTTGGATTTGGATTTTGTTTTCTTTGAGACATGTACCCCAGACTGGCCAGGAGTTCACAGTCCTGCCTCTGCCATATCTTCTGGGATTTCAGGACTATACCATATGCTAACTGCGTTTAGATGCTTTCTTAAGAGAGATTTCAAAACCCAAAAGTGAAATGCTGCAATCATTGTTAAGCAGTCTTACACATAGGTACATTAATATCCAAGTCGACCTTTGCTCTGCACCTCAGCAGCAGTGAACAGCATTTTTAAAAGTGGCTGCCTTTTTCTGACCTGGGCGGTTCACCTTTCCTTAGGCAACCTAGTTGTCCCAGAAGGTCACCATATAGATGTCAAACTTAGTAGGGCATAGCACACTACATCCTTGAACTCCTGTACTTAAGCAATCCCCCCACCTCAGTTTCCTGAGTGGCTGTGATTACAGGCTTTCTCCATCATGCTCATCCTGGCTGCCTTTAAGATAGAGAACTAGTAAGTAGTTTAGCTTTGTATATAAGTAACCAGGTGTTTATTTTTTATTTTTTTTGGGTCCGGTCGTGGGGCCAGAACTCTGGGCCTGGGTGCTGTCCCTCAGCTCTTCAGCTCAAGGCTAGCACTCTACCACTTGAGCCACAGCGCCACTTCCGGCTTTTTTCTTTTTGCTTATGTGGTGCTGAGGAATCGAACCCAGGGCCTCATGCATTCAAGGCAAGCGCTCTACCACTGAGCCACCTTCCCAGGCCCCAGGTGTTTATATATAGGTAACAGGTGTTTCCAGTATGCAAGATACCTCCCATGAATTATTTTTATTTCCTAGCCAGTCAGCTATTAGAGGTTTTAATATATAGCATAAATGACTACTCAAATGGCAAATATTTTGTCATTTGTATTGCCCCTGGGTGGCTCTTTCCCTCTGATGTTTTTCTTTGTATAATATTTGACAGTGTTTCTTAGACCCCAGCGTTTTTCACTGTGCCATGTCTCACTTCGGGGGCAGGTCTTCACTCCTCTTTTCTTCAAATAACCCACTTTTCACATTCTGAGACGTTCTCTAGTAGTATTTACAAAATTTAATGTTCAAGGCTGAGCACAGTGGCACATGCCTGTAATTCTAGCTACTCAGGAGGTAGAAGAAGGATAATGATTCAAGTTTAGCTTATGAAAAGTTAACAAGACCCCTTTCTCACTAAATTATCCAGATGCGGTGGTTCATATTTATGGTCACAGCTGCACAGCCTGGGCAAAAACTTGACATCCTATCTGGAAAATAATTAAAGAAGAAAGGGCTGGGCCCGGTGGCTCAGGTGTTTAGCAAGTACAAGGCCTGAGTTCACATTTAAGTATTAGGTTCACCCCCATCAAATGAAGGTTCAAAATACACCAGCAGAGAAGCAGCACAAACATGTATGGATCTCAGCTTCACTTGAACAATTTGTTTCTGTAGTATACGTCAGTTGCCATTACAGGAGAACTTCATCAAAGCTTACTTGAAGCTCTTGTTCTTCCATGCAAATCCATTTGCCTTTGTTACATACGCCACAGAAACAAACAGGAAGCCGGTTTCCATTTGCCATGCTTTCCCAGGGCACAGTGGACTCTCCATAAATACTTCCTGAACAAAATGATATTCAGAATCTCTAATATGAACCATTCTGCATTACTCCAAGTGAGATGACAATCTTTCTTTTCTTTTCTCTGTGTGGGCTTGAACTCAGGGTCTCACAGTCTCATTTAGCTTTTTTTCCTCAAAGCTGGCACTCAACCACTTGAATCACAGTTCCACTTCTGGCCTTTTGGTGGTTAACTGGAGATAAGAATCTCACAGATTTTCCAGCCCTGGCTGGCTTTAAACAGTAATCTTCAGATCTTATCCTCCTGAATAGCTAGGAAGAAGTGTGAACCATCACTGACAAATAAAAAGTCCTATACATGAAAAGAGATAAACAACAGTGTATCAGCTATCTATGGCTGTTAGAGTATTTTAGACTTTGCCAGAGAACCACGCAGATATCCAGGTACAGAGAACAAAGAAAGGTTTATTGCTGGGAAAGGAGCCGGCAAGAACACTTCTCACAAGGTAGAAGTGAGAAGCACGGGCTATTGTCTGGGGTGACCTATATAACCCAGGAGGCTTTGGAGGGCCTAGAAGGGGCTAGGAGGTGGAGACCCTGGTGTGGATGTGAGGGCCAGGAGCTTCATCACGGTGGACTAGGATTTATGGCTACTGAGCAAATAGTAGATAAGGGACGCTGCATCTGCCCAGACCTGAAGGTCACTCTAAGGGGTTCTTGCTGCCTTATATGGTGGTAGCTGCCCCAGAGAAGTGCCATCCCAAGGTAAAGGGAGTTGGAGGTTGATTCTTTATTGCCTTTACTAAATGGCCTAGTGTTACCTAGGAAGAGAGCATGCTAAGCTGTGGAGAGGGGAAACAATGTACTAAGCTTTGGGAAGGGAGCTCATTAGGCTAACAATGGCATTTAAGAAATGACTCATCACCTTTATAATAACAATAAATTAATTTTAAAAAGAAAGGGAATAAAAATAAATGACTTCTAGCAAGGTAAATTTTTTCTTAAATATTAAATTTAGCCACCCTAAAATCCCTTTTAGTTTAGAATGGGAGTGTGAATAGCATATAAAAATTCAAGAAGAACTATCTGCAGTGACAGTTTTAGTGTGCAGTTGAGGTAATTAGCTAGTTTCATTTAGATGACTTAAGGCCTGTGTGATTATTGGCCCTCCCCTGGCCAGTACTTCACCAAGTCAAGTATTAACAGAAATCAGCTCAGCATGCAATTAATCCTTTTCTTGCCTCTGACTTTTAAAGTGGCCAGATTAAGTTTAGCCTTCTTCCAATGAATAATACAGTGTTGGAATTTTCTTTCTATTGAATCATTCAAGATGCAGGCAGGCTTGAGAGTGTCAAACTGCCTAGCCTTGGGCCAGTCACTTAAACCACAGTCTGGATAGCCTCAGGTAAAATGGAAGATGTCTATATTGACTTGAAGATTCAGGGGAGAATGACTTGAAAGAATCTATGACATGCTATTAAAATCATTCCCATAAGCTGGATGCCTGTGGCTCACACCTGTGATCCTAACTACTCAGGAGGCTGAGATCTGAGGATTGTAGTTGGAAGCCAGTTAGGGCAGGAAAGTCCATGAGACTCTTATCTCCAATTAACCACCCCCAAACTGGAAGTGGTGCTATGACTCAAAGGCGCTAGCCTTGGATAAAAAAGCTCAGGGACAGTGCCCAGGCCCTGAGTTCAATTCCCACCTCCCTCCCAATCAATCCATCATAAATCACTCAATAATAAGAATATCAATAATAATAATAATATACAGATAATTTAAGTGAAGTATGGCAGCCAACGTCCATTCTTCGAAATGAATTGTTTAGGTGCCATTTTGGAGTGCGGTGAATTTTCAGGCACTGAGGGCATCCTAGATGCTCTATAAGGTTTTTGCCAAGTGACAAGGATATCAAAGCAAGCGGACACTGGTGAACTTGCCTTCTGCTCAGTTCCTTCCAGGTGTATTAGAACAAGTTGATGTCATTCGACGCTGTCTCTTGTGTCCAAACTTGGTTGTTTCTTCACTGCCTTTAGCCATTTTGGGCCACTATGTAGAACGCGAGGTCTGTGGGATGGAACATGTAGGAGAGGTGGATGCTTATGCTAACAGGTGAGGGGTGGGTGTTTCTAGAAACTACTGGAGTATGGAGAAGAGAGGCGGAGCAAGCGAGTGTCCTGTCAGCCATCCTCATGCTGGGGGAGAGGTGCGGGTGTGAAGACACCTGTGCTGTCCCATCGCCCGTGCGGCGCTGGGGTGCACCTGTGCCATCTCATCGCCCGTGCGGTGCTGGGGTGCGCCTGCGCCATCTCATCGCCCGTGCGGTGCTGGGGTGCGCCTGCGCCGTCCCATCGCCCACCCGTGCGGTGCTGGGGTGCACCTGTGCCGTCTCATCGCCCGTGCGGCGCTGGCGTGCGCTGGGCCCGACACGTGGCGCTGCGCGGGGCTTTACAGTGCGTCCTGTGTGGTTAGTATTACCCGAAGCACTGCACAAGTCGGGGTGGCGAGGCTGGGGACCCTCACATTTCATCGTTGTGCGAGCCAGCTGGGCACTAGGCGGTACCGCCCTGCGGGCCGGGCGCCCCCAGCGGCCCGGGCGCCCCTTGCGGCCCGGGCGCGCCTCGCGGCCCCGGACTCGGCGCCCGGGCACCGGCAGGGGGCGCCGCAGCCGGCACCGGACGGCGACGCCGAACCGCTCCGCCGCGCGCCCTCCGCGTCCTTCCCCCGCCGCCCGCGCTCAGGTGCGTCTCAGCCCGCGCGGGGTCGGAGCTTCGAGGCCAGGCTCGGCTCGGGTGGAGGGGTCCCCGTGGGGCCCCACGGCGCCCTCGCCCTCCCTGCAGGCCCGGGCACCTCCCCCCCCCTCCCGCGGTGCGCATGCGCGCCGAGTGGCCGCGGGAGGCTGGTGCTGACGGGGGTGGGGTGGGGTGGGGTGGGGTGGGGTCCTCCGGGAGGGGGGGGGCGGACAGTGGGGCTGACGAGGGGCGATGGGGCGCCGGAGGTGGTGGGGACGGCGGGCCCCATTCTGGGCGGACTCCGGCCGGCATAGCTGCCGTGTGAGGACTCGGGTCCCCCCCCCCCCCCAGGAGTTCGGAGGCCGCGGGGTCCCCAGAAGGGGCGGGACGCGGGTGGGAAGTCACTGCGGGCCGCGAGCACCCCGCGGGCGGTGGAGGGGTCGGTGGGGGGGACGGAGGAGAGGGGCAGGGGGTGGCCCGGGCCAGTCCGAGGCCTTGAACTCAGGGGTTTTGGGGAGGGGGGTTGCTCAAGGCTAGAGCTCTTTTCACACAGCTCCACGTGCTGCATTTTGCTCTTTAACAGCCTCACACTTTCCTGCCCACTTGGGTTTCAAACCGCGATCCTCAGACCTCAGCCTCCTGAGTAGCTAGGATTACAGGCAGGAGTGAGGCACTGGCACCAGGCCGGCTGGTTATTTTTAAGGCAGCGTCTCACATTAGCCTGGGCTGTGATTTTCCTCCTTGTGCTTCCTCTTGTCGCTGGGGATGACAGGTGAGGCTCCCTACAGCCAGCTATGGCCCTTCCCCCTTGGTCCTCCAACCTTGTGTTGCCCACTCTAGCCTCCGACCATAATCCTCCAATCTGTCCCTCTCAAGTAGCTAAGATTACAGACCTGAGCCAATGATCTTGGCTTAAAAAACATTTTTCATTAGCTGTATTTTCAGCTTACAATGAATGAGGTTATTGGGATATAAATTCATTGTAAGTCAAGGAGCAAAGATGTTTACTCAGCAAAAGTGTTGAACTCAAGGCCCAGGCCCTAAGTTCAAGCCCCAGTACCGCGGGTGCATACACGCACGCACACAATTCAAATCAGGAAAAATCGATAGATAAAAGGAATTCCAGTAAGAATTCCTATTATGAGACACAGATGCACTGTGTGTGCATATATTCAAACACATATCTGAATGTGCTTTGTTTCTATGTTGTTTTGTGGTTTTTCTAAAGCCTACCTGACATTAGTACTGCTAAGAAAACCGGATGCGACCTCTTCAGATTGTCCAGAGCAGATTAATTTCCCCCTTGTGTTGTGGATTGAAGCCTTTGGCCTCCTCCCAAAGCAAGGTTTGCCTAACGATGGCTCGGCCAAGTTCAAGTAAGTTATTCTTAGTTCATTATCTCCTCTCCAGTGGAATGTGAAGCTCTGGGTGCTCCCATAGTGGTAGGGGACACCTAGATTGAAGTAGGTATTCAGGATGATTTTGGGGATGCTGTGGCCTCTTGTCTTTCAAGCAAGTTCTTTCTAAACAAGGTTGGACTCTCTCTCTCTCTCTCTCTCTCTCTCTCTCTCTCTCTCTCTCTCTCCCTCTCTCTCTCTCTTCCCCTCTCTCTCTCCTGGGGCTTGAATTTAGGGCCTGGGCACTGTTTCTGAGCTTCTTTTGCTCAAAGTTAGCACTCTACCACTTGAGCCACAGCACCACTTCCAGCCTTTTCTGTGTATGTGGTACTGAGGAATAGAACCAGGGTTTTATGCATGGTAGGCAAGCACTCTACCACCCAGCAACATGGAGTTTCTTAATAAATTCAAGTCCCTTTAGGACATTTTACTGCATCTCTCGGAATGTTTGTATTTAATTTTTTCACACAGGATTTTTTTGCTTTGTTTGTGGTGCTGGTGACCAAACTACAAGCACTATATCTCTGAGCTCCATTTCCAGTCCCAGAAAATGTTTTGTTTTGAAAGATTTCACATTTCACACTACATTACCCTTACTGTGTTGTGTATGTGTGCGTGTGGGCTCTGGTACTGGAGCTTGATCTCAAGGCCTGGACACTTTCCCTGAGCTGTTTGGTAGTGTTCTTGAGCCACAGCTCCACTTCCAGCTTTTTGGTGGTACTTGCATATAAGAATCTCGTGGACTTTCTTGTCCATGCTAGCTGTGAACCCACAGCTTTAGATCTCAGCCTGCTGAGTAGCTAGAATTACAGGCCTGAGCCACTGGCACCTGGCCATTAAGTGCATTTTGCATCCCATTTTCCAAGGACCAAATCTAGGTTGACTTTTTGTTTGTAGAAGTTGCTTACCGTACCTTAATGGAAGTCACTCTGAGTGTGGAATATTTGTCAGGAGATGACAGTGTGTCCCTGTGGGGGAGAAAAGGCTTTTAGGGCTAGGGATAATTTCAGGGGTGAACTTTGAAGTCCTTAGGGACTTCTGTTCCTACATTTCCTAGAAAAATCTATATTTCCTAGAAAAAGTACATTTTTATTAATGTACTCACAGCAGAGTGCTGTGATACACATCTGTAACCTCAGGAGATTGAAGCAGAAGGACTGTGCATTGGAGGCCTTGGCTCCATACCAAGACTCTGACTTAGTGGCAGAGTATTCTAGGAATGGGTAAGGGAGAGAAGGAGTAAGCAAGGTAGGGGAAACTAACCCACCCAGGGTTAGTTCTGGTTAGACAGTTAGTCCAGCATTAGCCTCAGGTAGGCCTTGTTTTTCTCACCAGTGTCTCCTTGAGAGTCATGATGTCGGCAGGGCTTCGGCATGATACCATGCTAGCTGGGTCAACAATGTGTCTGGCCATTTCTTCCAGCCTGGTACTGCCAGGACTGTGGAGAGGAGAGCTCCAGTGAGATACCAGGGAGGGAGCTGGCATTCTCTGCTCCTTGGCTTCTGAGGCTGGCTTTGCTCTTTACTCCTTGTTCTCACTGGCTCAGTCCACTGTAGGACCAAGAAGAAGGGGAGGGGAGATTTTCTCTCCTGGTCCAGACACAGGTGCAGCTCATGAAGGTGGGACGTCCCGTGCCTGTTTAGAGAGAGCTATCCAGGTATGAGAAACCCCTGGGACATTGCCCACCCCCTCCCCCAGCTGGGGATACGAAAGGAGGCCATGCTTCCTTTACTATTCGAGTGGGCTACCCCCGAGTCCCCATCTGTCATCTGGTCCCTCTCCCAGAGGACACTCATCCACTCAAGAGTTTTTCTCGGTATTATCTCAGTGGGGAAAATCAGAAAACCTGCTCAGTTGAGAAATTCAAGATACTTTTTTTGGTTTTTAAGTCTTCAGTGCTGTCACCAGTTTGGTCACTCCATGTCTGGCACAGCTCCTGTTCCAGAGCTTTAGGCCTGCCACAAGCCGTGCTGGGTCAGCATGTGCTGTTTCATGGGGGAGGTGGGTAAGGGGGGAGGGTCTCACTTGTCCTCCTGGAAGGGAGCTGATGCCTGGCTCTGGACCCTTCATGCATGCGGTCTGCACGTGAGGGCCTGCCTGGCTGTGTGCCTCGGGAGCGGCATTGGTCCAGGCCGTGCCCTGCCTGGCATTTCTTTTCCAGTCACTGCTGCCCAAGGGCGACAATGGCAGCTCCCCATTGCCAGCTCCAGGTCTGGCTCCTTCTGCTTGTCTCGAGATGAGGTCATTTTGGGGGTAAATGACCCCTGAGGTCCACAGAAAATGATTAATACTGAGCTGGGCTCAGAGGCTTGGCTGAACACAGTTGCTGCCTCCGCTGGCAGAGATCAAGCAGGAGGGTCATGTGGAGGTTCAGGGGGAAGACACGCCATACTCTGTGACCTAGACTACTGTGGGCTTGCCCTTCCATGGGTCCAGCCCCTCCCTGGCATCCAGGTCCCTGGTGATGCCTTGTGGAGAAGCCTGACTCTTGTTTGAGCAGTCAGAGCGCACAGTTATGTCTCCATGTTGGGACAGAGCTGTTTACAAGAGAGGAATTCTTGCCGTGAGCTCACTATGCCTAGGGAAACTGGAATTAGCACCACCCCCACAGAGAGAGTGAATTAGGAGAGACGTTGAGTGTTTGGGATTCATCGAGCCTCCGCTCAGCCCTCTCCAAATCTACAGGCTTGTTTTGTGTGTGGGGGGGGGGGCGGGGGGCAAAGGAGTACTAAGGTTTGAACTTAGGGCCTCGTGCTGCCCAGCAATCAATCTAAACTTCAGTGTTTTTTTGCCTCAGTTATTTTTCAGGTAAGGCCTTTCATTTTTTTGCCCAGGACCAGCTCTGGCCATCCTCCTATCTTTAGCTCCTGTAGCAGGAGCAACAGGTGTATGTCACTGCATCTAGCTTTGCTTGTTTGTTTGCCCGTTCTGGGAATTGAGGTTCTTTTGCTCAAGGTTGGTACTCTACCACTTGAGCCACAGCACCACTTCTGGCTTTTTCTGTATCTGTGGTACTGAGGAATTGAACCCAAGGCTTCATGTATGCTAGGCAAGCTACTCTACCACTAAGCCATGTTCCCAGCCCCTAGCTTGTTTTTAAGACAGGGTCTTGCTAACCTTTTTGGTTTGAGCTGGACTCGAACTGTGGTCCTCCCATTTTCATCTCCCATTGTTTTGACTTTGATAAAGGAAGATGGATATTGTCCACCAGCCCTTCTAAAGTCTGCATAGTTACCCTGCTATGTACGCAGTATGTACATCAAACAGCCAAGGGAACCGAGCATAGAGAAAGGCAAGCAGTTTCTCTGGGGTGGAGGCAGAGCTGAGATTCCAAGCCAGGTGGTGACTAAGCTGCTGCTTTCCTCACAATACCCATACCCATGACATGTCTTACCCAACCAGCTACAAACAATTTTTGCTGAAGTATCTTAAAGAATAACTTTGTACAAGGTCAGGATCCAAAGTATAGGCAGTTGATATGGGATATGAACATCGAAATGTGACACTGGATTCATACAGATCTTATTCTTTCTCTAGGCATGGCAGACTTTCGGAAGTGTTTTGCCAAGGCAAAGCACATAGCCATTATTTCAGGGGCTGGCATTAGTGCTGAAAGCGGGGTTCCAACTTTCAGAGGAGCTGGAGGCTATTGGAGAAAATGGCAAGCTCAGGTTAGTAATGTTCCCTGAACAGTAAAAGGCTGTTCTTAATGAAGCTATAACCGAGTGTAGTGCGATGCTTTCTCATGACACAAACCACATTTCTTTTGAAAATTAGCATTATCAAGGCAGGATTTGTATAGGATGGAATGCAACATGTGTTGTATGCTCACTTTGCTGAGTTATGTGGGCCTGCGCACGTGTCAGTCCTAGGGCTTGAATTCAGGACCTGAGAGCTGTCCCTGGGCTTTTTTTGCTCTACCACTTGAGCCACACCTCTACTTCCAGCTTTTTGGTGGTAATTGGAAATAAGAGTCTCATGGACTTTCCTGCCCCCAAATGACTTTGAACTACCATCTTCTCATATCAGCCTCCTGAATACCTGAATCAGATTACAGGTATAACCACCAACGCCCAGCCTCATCTTGCTGATTTTTGAAAGGTGCATGCACCTAAGTTTCCATCACCCTCATAAGCCAGATGTAGAATATTCTATCTTGCCCATCCACCCTTGTGCCCTACCCAGCTACCACTGTGCTATGAATGACATCTGTTTCTCCTAGAAGAGGAGCTGTACTTTATTTTACATTCTGTTACCTTATTATATTGCCTTTACAGGTGTATGTATAGCTATATGTGTATAGTTGTGCATGCACATGCATATATGTATATATTTGGTTGAATGTAATTTGTGCGGTTACATATAGAAATATACAAGTATACATGTGTGAACTGTGTGTATATATAGGTGTATAGGTTTGTATTTAAGCATGTGTGTACTTGTATGTACATGTCATGTGTATATGTATACCTGTGAATATAGTTGGGTATATGTGTGTGAATTGTGTATATGTGTAGTTTGTAAGCATATGTCTATTTAGTTGTTGTGTCTGAGTTGTGTATATGTATATAAACATGTAGGTGGTGTTGTATGTGCACATGTATAGTTTGTATGCAAGTATGTGTGTAGTTATATGTATGGTTGTGTGTACATGCATGTGTATGTATATTTTTGAGTGTTATTGTGTATTTGCAGTTGTGTGTGTGAGTAGTATGTGTAGTTATGTGCTGGAATGCATGTGTATATAGTTGTGTGTGTAGTTGCATACAGGAAAGTATGTGTAGTCGTACATATGAGATACATGTAGTTGTATATAGGAATGTATCTGTGTTTGTATGTGTAGTTGTGTGTGTGAGGCATGTGTAATTGTGTATAGGAAGGTATGTGTGTAGTATGTGTGTAGCTCTAGTTATAGTTATAAAAACTAGGTTTCTGGGCTGTAAATGTGGCTTAGTGGTGGAGCACTTGCCTAGCTTGCATGAAGCCCTGGGTTTGATTGCTCAGTACCACATAAACAGAAAAAGCTTGAAGTGGTACTGTGGCCCAAGTGGTAGAGTAGTAGTCTTGAGCAAAAAAGCAGCTCAGGGACAGTGCCTAGGCCCTGAGTTCAAGCCCCAGAACTGGCCAAAAAAAAAAAAACACCCAAAGACAAAAACCTGGGTTTCTCAGCTATGATGCCTCAAGGGGGCATTTTACACCTTACCTTTTTCTTGGGTATATCTCAAAATGAGATTGACCCCCATATATTTCCGGGTTCTGTGAAGAGGCAAATTCAGCCCTAATGCCTTCCCACCTGACTTTCTTTGCTGTTCCTCGTTTGATGGGTGGCCATGACCCCGCTTTGAAATGAAGGACTGGAGACAACCCCTCTCCAGGGCCTCAGCTTTGCCCCAGGATTGGGCCTAGCCTGTGATCCGACACCCCTTCCCTCCCCCCCCCATCCCAACCCTGCCTCCTCCGCCCCCAGGACTTGGCAACTCCCCAGGCCTTCGCCCACAACCCGTCGCGGGTGTGGGAGTTCTACCACTACCGGCGCGAGGTCATGCGGAGCAAGGAGCCCAACCCCGGGCACCTGGCCGTGGCCGAGTGCGAGGCCCGGCTGCGTCCCCAGGGCCGGCGGGTCGTGGTCATCACCCAGAACATCGACGAGCTGCACCGCAAGGCTGGCACCCAGAACCTCCTGGAAATCCACGGTAAGGGCTTTCCCCACCGCCTACCCCCCGGGGACGTCCGCACCCGCTGGCATTTGAACGGCGGGCCGCCCTAGCCTCTAGCACCCCTCACTGGCCATTTCCTGCTCCTGTGGGCAGCACCGCCTCTCCTGCGCCCTTGGCGGATGAGCCTGGCCCCACCAGGGCCCGCTGAACCAGAGCCTGCGTGTTATCTGAGCCCTCGACCCTGGCGCCCTGGCTGGAATTGCGGGGGACACCGCCGCTGAGGGTCGTCGTGGCTGTGGCAGGATCGCAGTCCAGGCTTCCAGCGTGGCCCACCTGTTTGTTTAGCGCCTGTTTTTGCTTTAGGTAGGCTGGGCAACGCTGTTCACTTGGACTTTGTCTGCTGTGTCCCAAGAACAGTTAGCAGACTGATTCCCCCGGGTCTCTGCTCACGTCTCTGCCATGTTAGCAGTCAGCCATGTTGGTGAAGATGACAATGCCTATTTGCAGAGTTCTTTGAAGAATTTAGGCACACCATTTGGGTGGCCTGCTGAGGGCTTGCTTTGGTTGCAAGGAATGAGAACTTCCTTGTAACTTGTGTTCAAAAAAAACCTCTTCAGGGGCTGGGAAGGTGGCTCAGTGGTAGATGCTTGCCTTGCATACATGAGACCCTGGGTTCGATTGCTCAGCACCACATAAGCAGAAAAAGCTGGAAATGGCGCTGTGGCAAAAGTGGTATATGGCGCTAGCCTTGAGCAGAAGAGCTGAAGGACAGCGCCTAGGCCCAGAGTTCAGGCCCCACGACCAGCCAAAAACAAAACAAAACAAAAGCAACAAAGCCTCTTCATTTCATTAAAATTGAAGATGCCATCACTTTTAGGATGCATCCTGAGCTATGTGTTATTATAAATATGCTATCCAAGAGACACTAGAGTCACAACAATAGACACAAAAATAAAGAATTGTCTCAGCAATGCAAAATTTACTTCTGCAGAAGGGTGCACTAACAGCCAAAAATCTGGCAAGCAAACCCACAGAGCAGGCAGGCTGCTCCTATATTTATCCCTAATGCAACAGGCCCCACCCCTCTGTTCAGATTGGTTGAGCTCAGGTTCACAATGTGCTGGTGATTGGCTAGTTTGTAGAAAGATGTATTTACATAAGGTGACTTTGAAATAAAATTAACAGTTCACAATCTCCAAAATTACTAACAAATGGCTGGAGATAGATAAGTAAATAGATAAGCTGAGAAAAAAACCGAACAGTTGAGATGAAAAGGACCTTGAGGGGCCTTGTGGCTTATTGTTTACCCAGCATGCAAGAAGCCCTGGGTTGCATTCCTTAGTAACAGGTAAGCAGAAAAAGCTGGAGGTGGTTCTGTAGCTCAAGTGGTAGAATGCTAGCCTCGAGCAAAAAAAACCTCAAGCCTCAGGACTGGCAAAAAAAAAAATCTGCCCAAACTATGATATGCAATTTTATTATCCTTTATTTGTTGTTCTACACTTACAGAAAGGACTTGCTAAAACATACTAATGGCCAGGTGCTAGTGGCTCACATTTGTAATCCTAGCTACTCAGAACTTTTGGAGGATTATAGTTTCAAGCCAGCCAAGACTTGAAAGTTCACTCGACTTCATCTAGCAAAAAGCAGGGCTGGAGACATGGCTCACACTGTAGAACACCAGCCATGAGCAAGCAAGCTCAAAGCAATAAGTTCAAACTCCAATACTTTTTTTTTTTTTTGCCAGTTCTGGGGCTTAAACTCAGGGCCTAGGCACTGTCGCTGAGGTTCTTTTGCTCAAGGCTAGCACTCTATCACTTGAGTATTTTCTGTTTATGTGGTACTGAGGAACTGAACCCAGGGTTTTCATGCATGCTAGGCAAGCACTCTACCACTAAGCCACATTCCCAGCCCCTCTAATACTTTAAAACAAAAAATCCAAATAAGTTCCAAACACAAAGAAATGGAAATACATGAGATGCTAATTATCCTCATCTGATTATCAAAAGTTATATACATGTATCAAGTTGTCATACTGCACCATATATATATAATTATACAACAACTAAAAATAATTTTAAAACTTAGACTTAATTTCAAAACATACATGTATGCATGTTTATATGTAGTTTTTGGTGGTATTAAGTTTGAACTTAGCACCCAATGCTTTCTCAGCAAGTACTCTACCACTAGAGATACATCCCTACACTTTTTACCTCTAGTTTGTTTTTCAGATAGTCTCATGTTTTTGCCAGGACTCACCTTGGACCAAGATCCTCCTATCTTTGCCTTCAGAGTAGCTGGGATTACAAGTGTGAACCACTAGGCTCAGCCCTCTTTTTTATCAGTTACTTAATTCTATGTAAAAATTAAGGCTGCATGAATTCAAAGATTTTAGAAACATACTCTAAGCCACTGACCTTTCATAATTACATACATAGTAAATCATACCCTTAGTGTTAAGTGGAGATGCCTCTTCCCCATTGACTACTTTAGGTCTACCTGAACATCACTCCAAGGTAACTGAGCCACATTAGTCCTACTACTACTTGTTTTCTCCTCCAGATCCGGAAGCTTTTTAGTCTATTTGCCTTTGTATTTCCCATGATCCCTAGGCAAGGCCCATTTGCTAAGAGGAGTGGATAAAAACTCAATTAGACATAGCAACAGTTGTTCTTGATTATTCAGAGTTCTGAACTTAGTGTGTGTTTTTCAGGAACCTTATTTAAAACTCGATGCACCTCTTGTGGCGTTGTGGCTGAGAACTACAACAGTCCAATTTGTCCAGCTTTATCAGGAAAAGGGTAATTATGCTGTGTGACATAGTATGTCATTTTTCCCTCTAAGTTCAACATGGATAGGAGGAAATGAAACATTCATTGAAAATTCCTGTGGATATTTATGAGAAATAAGACTGAATGCACTAAAGACATTTGATAAAATAAATATTTGGCTCACAATTTACAGTGTGAAGTAAAAACAGTATACTAAATGATATACTATATGATACTGTACGATCCCAATTTAGTTAAATACAAATACTTCATGCTTATGCATCTATATACTAGTTAAAAGCTCAGAAAAAACACAACAAAATATTACAGTATTACTACTGATATTGGAGTGAAGGGATTGTGGATGATTGTTGGTGGAGGAGGACTGGGGATCAGACCCAGAGCCTTGAACATGCTAGTGACCTCTTCTCCTATTGAGCCCTTGGTCCCTGGATAAATGTTTTATTCTTTGCAACTTTTTTTTTTTTGGGGGGGGGGGGCGGTCGTGGCCTGAACTCTGGGCCTGGGCGCTGTCCCTCAGCTCTTCAGCTCAAGGCTAGCATTCTACCACTTGAGCTACAGCGCCACTTCCGGCTTTTTTTTTTCTGCTTATGTGGTGCTGAGGAATCAAACCCATGCATGCAAGGTAAGCACTCTACCACTGAGCCACCTTCCCAGCCCTCTTTGCAACATTTTTATGATGAGTATTCACTATTATGAGTAGGAAAAAATACTGAACTCAGAATATTGGTAAAAGTTTACTGGGCCATTTTAGTGTAGTATAAATTCTTTTTTCTTTCTTTTTTTTCGGGGGGGGGGGGGGGGAAGCGCTGATCCCAGGGCCTGAGTGCTGTCCCTGAGCTCAAGGCTAATGCTGTACCACAGTTCCATTTCTGGCTTTTTGGAGTGAGTTATTGGAGATAAGAATCTCATAGATTTTCTTGCCAGGGCTGGCTTTGAACCATGATCCTCAGATCTCAGCCTCCTGAGCGGCTAGGATTCAGGTGTGAGCCACTGGTGCCCAGCAATAATGTAGTATAATTTCTGTAAGTGATAAGTGAACATTGCAGATGAGCCAAATGATGCTAAAGCATATAAGGTAAATCACAAGACTCTGCAAGCTGGGTCACTCCAGGCCTCTTCCCCGCTACAAGATCCCTCTGGAGTGAAAGCCACTGGCCATTCCTTGACGCCTATCCTAGTTCTCTTCCTCGTGAGCATGCAGAGGAGTTCTGCCAAAAAGAGAAGCTTCAGGGTGAAGCTGTTCCTTCATTCTTGGATTATGCATACCAGTGACCCTCTTTCTTTTCTAACGCTTCAGCGCTCCAGATCCTGAAACTCGAGATGCAGGAATCCCAGTTGAGAAACTGCCCAGGTAAGTAAAAAAACCTTTATGTTTAGTGTTCCAGGTTGCAAAAAAGAAAATAACTAAAATGTAAATATTTATTATCATTGTTATTTTTATTATTGCACTGCTGGGGTTTGAGCGTGGCCTCACTCTGCCACTTGAGCCACGCCCCAGTCGTTTCCTTCTTCAGATAAGGTCTCATGATTTTGCCAAAGATGGCCTCCCCAGTAGCTGGAACTAGAGGCATGTATTATATGTCTGGATTGTTTTTGAGATAACATCTTGCAAATTTCTGCACAAGGTTAGTCCTGAACTGTGATGCTTCTGTCTCTGTTTTCTGGACAGCTAGGACTATAGGCATACACACAATGTCTGTCCATGAGATACCTCTTAAATGAAAAAATGCACAATCTAGTCCTGACCAGCAAGGCCAAGAGCAAAAAGACAAAAGGTGAAACAAAGGAACATCTTTTATCTAGTCCTGCCCCTCAGAGGGGTATGTGTGTGTTTGTGTGTGTCTTTTTGAGACAGTATGTGTGTGTGTTTTTGAGACAGTGTGTGTGTGTGTCTTTTTGAGACAGTGTGTGTGTGTGTGTGTGTTTTTGAGACAGTGTGTGTGTGTGTTTTTGAGACAGTGTGTGTGTGTTTTTGAGACAGTGTGTGTGTGTGTGTGTCTTTTTGAGACAGAGTGTGTGTGTGTCTTTTTGAGACTGTGTGTGTGTTTTTGAGACTGTGTGTGTGTCTGTGTGTCTGAGACAGAGCCCTCCTATATTGCTCAGGCTAGTTCCAGAGTTTTGACATACTATTTTATCCCTCCGTAACTGTGACTACAAACATACCCAGCTTCCGTCCCTTTATGTTTAGTGTTTTGGTGGATTATTTGAGTTCTGCAGCTATATGACAGAGCGTCATCTAAATTTTAGAAAGTACAAGGCTACATCCTGAAATTTGCCAGTAAATCTGCTGTTGTTACCTTCTCCTTCCTTTTTTTCTTCCTTCCTTCCTTTTGTTTCTTTTTCCTTCTTTCTTCTCCTCCTCCTCCTTCTTCCTTTTCTTCTTCCTCCTCCTACTTCTCCCCTTCCCCTTCCTTCTCTCCTCTCTGCCCTTTCCCTTCCTGTTAACCCTCCCTCTCACTCTTCCTGCCCCTCCTACTCTTTCCCCCTCTTTCCTGCCCCCTCCTCCTTCTTTTCCATTCTCTTCATTCTCCGCATTATCAGTTCAGGATTAGGGAGACATTCAAAGATCTTTCAAAGACAAAATTGCTTCACCAAACTATTTTTGTAGACTAAAGAAAAGAAGCTGGGCATAGGAGGTGGAGGTAAAAGGATCACAAAGGCTCTTTAAGAAAGTAAAAATAAAAGCCTGGGGTATAGCTCAAATGGTAAAATCTTATACAAAGCCCTGGGTTATATTTCCCAGCACTAGAAAAAAAATACATTTTTATGTCAAATTTTCAAATCTAGTCACTGAAACAGTGCTTCCAACAGTGTTCAGAGATTCATAGTACATGTCATACTAAGAGCATTTCTACAAAAAGATGTTACATGGCCAAAGAAATATGGAAGCGTGGGGCTGGGAAGGTAGCTTAGTGGTAGAGTGCTTGCCTAGCACGCATGAAGCCCTGGGTTTGATTCCGCAGTACCATATAAACAGAAAAGCCAGAAGTGGCACTCTGGCCCAGGCCCTGAATTCAAGCCCAAGGACTGGCAAAAAAATAAAAATAACTGCCCCCTCCTCCATTTACATTGTTACAGGACTTCTCAGAAGGTTCAACATACAAAAATACTATTGCTTTCTCAAAAATGGCTATAAAATGTTGCTAGTTCATGGCTTTATTTCACTACCAATCCCTTTGTGTTTTTAATGAGGGTTTTCATTACTGAATTCATTACTAATTGTAATTTGAAATAATGGGAGTTCTGGGGGTTCCTGAGTAGGAGATTATTTCTAAGCTACTGGTATTGGACGTGGTAAGCTAGAGGAAAAATTGAAACATGAGGGCTTGCAGTAATGGGCACTGGAGGGCTGGCTACAGACAGGTCTCAAGAGAGCCAGAAAGTGGAAGAGGTCATTGAAGATTTTAGGGGTTCTGCAAGTACTGAAGGCAGGTCCCAGGCCAGGGTTCTGCCCAGAACTGCTTTGTAATATACAAGGAAAAGCTTCTGAAAAGAGCAGTCCATCTCAGTTGATTCCATGTCAATGCCACTGGGTGGACAGGAAAAAGAAACTTTACTAGGGAAGTTCTACTTGGCAAGTTCCTGTTAGTGAAGTGTGTTAGTGTGAAGTGGCTCACTTGCATGGGTTCTGGGTAGTCCCCAGCCTTCCCTGGGTCTTAGGCAGCTAAGGGTGATTCAGAATTGCTCTCTTCCAGGTGTGAGGAGGCAGGGTGCGGGGGCTTGCTGCGACCACATGTGGTGTGGTTTGGAGAAAACCTGGATCCTGCCATTCTGGAGGAGGTGGACAGAGAGCTTGCCCTCTGTGACCTGTGTCTAGTGGTAGGTCACACCCTTCCTCAGTCCTCAGGATTCTCTGAAGCACTGAATCTGAGGGTGGGATTTATTATTGCTTCCTTTCCTTCTTCTTTCCCTCCCTTCCTTCATTTTAACTCAAACCATAAAGTGGGTGTGGTGGTACAAGCCTGTGATCCCTGCTATGCAGGAGGTATAAATAGGGGGATTATAACAGAGCAGGCCAGCTTGGGCAAAATCACAAGACCCTGTCTGAAAACTAACTAAAGAAAATAGACCAAGAGACATACCTGCCTATTAAGTGTGAGGCCCTGGGTTCAAACCCCAGTACTGCCTCCCTCTCAAAAATAACTATATATTGTTGGGTAGTGGAATCATGGGTAACATGCTAACATTTTGTTGTTAAATTTTCCAAGTTAGGGAAAGAACATAGATCATTTTTATAACTTCAAAAAGCAGAAACAGGGCTGGGAAGGTGGCTCAGTGGTAGAACACTTGCCTTGCATGCCGGAGGCCCTGGGTTCGATTCCTCAGCCCCACATAAGCAAAGAGAAAAAAGCCGGAGGTGGCACTGTGGCTCAAGTGGTAGAGTGCTAGCCTTGAGCTGAAGAGCTGAGGGACAGCGCCCAGGCCCAGAGTTCAGGCCCCACGACCGGACCCAAAAAAAACCAAAACAAAAACAGCAGAAACAGAAACAGTATTCTCCCACCCCAATCTTTCCAACATGTTGAATGGGTCATTTCTTCCTACCTCTGTCCATTCGTGTAACTCTCCTTTCTGTATCTCATGGTCTTCCTAAATTCTACGAATGGCCTGAAGGTTGCCGCTAAACTTGCATGTGTGGACCCCTCCACCGTGTCTCATCCTGCCTAGCCTGCTCTTGCTGCAGCGACAGCCCTACCTAAGTGTATCAAAGGTTTTCTGAAAGTCTCCCCACAGTCATTCCCATGTGCTGCTTTGCAGGTAGGGACTTCATCTGTGGTCTACCCAGCTGCCTTGTTTGCCCCTCAAGTGGCTGCTAGGGGAGTTCCAGTGGCCGAGTTTAACACGGAGACCACCCCAGCCACAAACACATTCAGGTACACGGGTGCCAAGCTGGGCATTGGGAGGTGGAGGGCAGGCTTGGACATGTCACCACAGATCTTAACTACTGTCCTAATTTTTAGGGAAGGGAAGGGAAGGACAGGGGAGAGGAATGAGGAGAGAAGACAGTCTCGCTTTATAGCTCCTTTTGTGGAAGAACAAAGTATCTCTGAGCACAGGTGCAGGTGTCTATGTTTCAACATAGGATCTGCCACAGGCTTTTCTTTTTTGAAAGCTCTATGTTTCTTAGATTTACCTTGCAGTTAATATTGTGAACTATGTTTGGTAATGACCTTTTAGATATAGGTGAGTAGCCCTCAGCAGGGAAGCCTGAAAAATGACCCAGAAAAAGCTTCTATTCACTGGGTAAATTTGTCTGCAATTTGATTCCAAAGAACCTCTGTATTCATGGCCATCTCACGAATCCCAGGTCCCATGTTATGCCTTGACCCTTGTTTTGCTTTACTTTTAATCCTTGGTTGCTAGTTAAATTTCCTTCTAGAATATAAATACAACTGACTCTCCTCTCCTCCCATAAAACACTTTGGTTCCTTAATCAAAGGCTTTTCATGTTGGTTGAGTATTTAAAAAATCCCAGTGACTGGGCTCCAATTCTTAGAATCATCATGATGCCACTGAAGGTTGCAGGACATGGTGATTGCTTTTAGTTTCTTTCTTAGCAATTATCCTGTGCATACAGGGTGTGAACTGTGGCTCTGAGTTGGCCCTGGGATAAAACGTGGCATAGGCACTTAAATAGCATCCTCCTCAGCTGACTTAGCTGACTTTGGTACTGGTCTTTCTTATGCATTTGTATATTTGGCTGCCTGGTCCATAATTCATCATTTGTTTGTAAGTTGTGAAAACTTCCCATTTCTCTTTTTAAAAAAGTATTTTGTTGCTATTATAAAGGTGATGTACAGAGGGGTTAGTTATATGTCAGGTAAATAATACGTTTCTTTTTGGACAATGTTACCCCCTCCATCGCTCAAAAAGTTCTCTAAAAACAGTCTTTATGCAAAATTTATACAAAACACTATTGAGCGAAATAAAGAATATTAAATAGAAACGTATCCCATATCATGGATTGGATTACTTAATATTATTAAAATGACCATAGTCTCCAAGAGGTTCAACCTACTCCCTATCAATATTACAACTAGATTTTTGCAGAGATAGGCAAGGTGATCCCAAAGTTCATATTGAAAATTCAGGGGACTTTTCTGTCAAAGCAAAAAGACCAAAATCACACCTAGACATTTCAAAACTTACTACAGTTATTTAACCAAGGTGGTGTGGCAATTGTTTTAAGGATGGATATATAAAACCAGTAGAACAGAACAGAAAGTCTAGTGAAATAAATAAATAACGCCTCATATGCTAGCACCAGTGGCTACTTAGAAGGCTGAGATCTGAAGATTGTAGTTCAAAGCCAGCATGGGCAGGAAAGTCCGTGAGACTGTTATCTTCAATTAACCAACAGAAAACTGGATGTGGTGCTTGGCTCAAGTGGTAGAGTGCTAGCCTTGAACTGAAGAGCTCAGGGACAGTGCCCAGGCCCAGAGTTCAAGCCTCATGACTGACTTCCCCCTCCCCCCCCAAAATAACTCCTCATATTTGTGGTCAGTTGATTTTTGCAACCTGTGAAGATGGTTCAGCAGGGGAAAGAACAACCTTTTCAATCACGGTGCTGGATAGCCTCATGCAATTGCAGTCTGATCCTTTGCTACAACACACACCAAAACTAACTCAAAATGGATCTTAGGCCTGAACCTAAATGTGAGAACTATAAAATCCTCAAAAAAGATAACCAAGCAGAAAATCTTTGTGACCCTGTGTTAGCTAAAACTTTCTTAGACCTGATACCAAAAGCATGAGTAACAGAAAAAAAAAAAAAAAAAGGTAGGGCTGGGAAGGTGGCTCAGTGGTAGAGCGCTTGCCTTGCATGCATGAGGCCCTGGGTTCGATTCCTCAGTACCACATAAGCAAAAAGAAAAAAGCCGGAAGTGGCACTGTGGCTCAAGTGGTAGAGCGCTAGCCTTGAGCTGAAGAGCTGAGGGACAGTGTCCAGGCCCAGAGTTCAGGCCCCACGACCGGGCCCCCCCCCACACACAAAAAAAATAGGTAAATTGGTTTTTATTCAAGTTAAATGTTTTTGTACATCAATAGAGTGAAAATCTACTCACAAAATTGAAGAAAAAAATCCTTTAAAAAATTATCTTTCAGCTGGGCGCCGGTGGCTCATGCCTGTAATCCTAGCTACTCAGGAGGCTGAGATCTGAGGATCACAGTTCAAAGCCAGACTGGGCAGGAAAATCCATGAGACTCTTATCTCCAATAAACCACTAGAAAACCGGAAGTGGCACTGTGGCTTAAGCAGTAGAGCAGTAGAGTGCTTGCCTTGAGCTAAAGAGCACAGGGACAGCGCCCAAGCCCAGAGTTCAAGCCCCATGACTGACGAGGGAAAAAAAAAAAAAAAAAAAAAATATATATATATATATATATATATATACATATATTTCAGTAGTTGTGCAAAAGGTCTTAATTCAACATGTCAATGTACAATGTAGAAATATTTCCAAGTCTATTTATTTATTTATTTTTGGTCATGGGGGCTGAACTCTGGGCCTGGGCGCTGTCCCTCAGCTCTTCCACTCAAGGCTAGCACCCTACCACTTGAGCTACAGCGCCACTTCGGGCTTTTTTCATTTTGCTTATGTGGTGCTGAGGAATTGAACCCAGGGCCTCATGCATTCAAGGCAAGCACTCTATCACTGAGCCAACTTCCCAGCCATATTTCCAAGTCTAATAGTTTAAAGATTTGTATATAGACTATATATGTATATATACCCGTACAGTCTAAATGTATATAAACTATATATGCAACTAAAAAGATAATACAGATAAAAGACTGACAGAAAAGTTAGACATTTCTCTAATATGTACATAGAATCAATAAGCATATTACAATGACATTCAACATCACTAGTCAGTAAGGATGTACATACAAATGAAAGCTCCAATGAGATACTACTTCACAACCACCACAGTGACTCTAATTAGAAAAAGAGGGGAAAAGCAAGTAGTGAGGACTTGGAGATCATATATGTCAGGTGGAAGGTACTGGCAGGAGTATGTAGGGCTGCAGCCACTTTTGAAGAACCTAGTTATCCAAAAAAAGAGATGGGGGAAATGAGCACAGAAATTATAGACACCACTAGATGCTGGTTCCTCACACTTGCAATCCTGGCTTCTTAGGAGGCTAGGAGCTGAGGCTCAAAGTTCAGAGCCAGCATGAGCCTCTTAATTGGAGAATTAACCACTAAAAAATTAGAAGTGGAGCTGTGGCTTGGAATGATAAAGCACCAGCCTTGAGCACAAAAGCTCAAGGACTGTACCCAGGCCCTGAGCCGTAGGACCAACAAGTTTTGATGTAATGAAGAAATGTTGCAGGTAGGCATTGTTATCGCTAACATGTAGCTCCTAACTAATACATCTGATCCTTTGATCAGGTTTCACTTCCAGGGACCCTGTGGGACCACCCTTCCTGAAGCCCTGGCTCCTCATGAAATGGAAACTGTTCCTTAAACATTCTGTGAACGGAAAAATAATAGTGGATCTGAGAACTAGGCCACACACGGAACATTCTTGTGGATGTTGAGCTGAATACTGAAGATCTAAAAATATCCTCTGATACCTGGTGGGGATTCAGCCTCTTGATAAATGATTGGCTTAGAAAAGCTGTGACAAAAGCATTTATTTAGATGAAGCTAGAGAAGTGTGGAGTTAACACACTTTAGTTGGTTTGAACTAAAATACAAGTTCTTATGTTTGATGTTTTGGTCAGTTATTGGGAGGGAAAAATTTGTGATTACATTGTCTTAAAAAGAAGTGGGTTAATGATTGTGGATCTTTGCTCTTTGATCCAGAAATAGAGGAAAGCCTCAGCTGGTACTTGATTCTGATTTTTTTTGTGTGTGTATATTTTGGTGAGAAGTGAATTCCTTCCCTTCTATAGGTCATTTATTATATAATGGTTCCCCAAAATGTGCCTGTTGGAGGCTCTTTTCAGTGTTTACCTTGCCTCAAAAAAACAGGGATAACTTGAGGACAAGAACTGTTAAAGGAGGAAAGTAGCTGGGTGCCAGTGGCTCACGCCTGTAATCCTAGCTACTCAGAAGGCTGAGATCTGAAGATTGTGGTTCAAAGCCAGCCTGGGCAGGAAAGTCCATGAGATTCTCATCTCCAATAAACCAGAAAACCAGAAGAGGCACTGAGGCTCAAATGGTAGAGAGCTAGCCTTGAGCTGAAGGGCTCAGGGACAGTGCCCAGAGTTCAAGCCCCAAGATTGGCAAAAAAAATAAAAAAGAGGAAAGTAACAACAAGTAGAAAATCCAAATGAGAAAACAGGACAGTACGCAAATGGGGTTGTACCAGGTGAGCACAGCAACCTGCACCTTAGCTCTGATTGCTTGGCAGCCAGAGGAAAGCAAGGAGTGATAGTTGACAGTTCCTCAAGACTACTACTGAAGAAAACAGCTGTCCCTGTAAGGCCTGCCAAGCTCCACAGACACTCGCTTCTGAAGGCAGTTTCTCTGTAGGACTTTAAAAAATGATGCACTTTTTCCCTTGGAATAAAGTAGGAAAAAACTACTCCTTCAACCCCTTCCAGCTATATGCTGAATTCAGGACCCTCTGCATGCCTGCTGGCCAGTGTGCATCAGGCCTGACTGGGAGGAATGGCTGTTACTGAAGTGTATGAAGGTCATGCACATCCTTTGGGTCTGGTGGGTCCTTGAATAATTACATGCCTGGGCTGCTTCACCTCAGCCCCTTGAGAATTATATTTAATGTTACAAACCTGGATTTTGTAGAAATAGGTAACAACCCACGATTATAGACAACTTTGTAATGCACATAAAAATCTTAGCCATTGATAAATCCATCCCAAAGGTCCTTTGTGTAGTTTTGGAGTGGGGATGTTCCTAGCCAGTGGAGAGTGTAGAGACCATGCAGGCACCCTGAGGTCTTGATTTGTGCTTTAATGAGGCTGAATCAGGGAGGGACAGAAAATATATTTAACAAGGTTCTGAAGTGTTTATAAGCCAATTTTTGTTTTGCCGTATTGGGGATGGAACTCGGGGTCTCCTGTTTGGCAAGGACTCTACCACTTACTTTAGACACACCCTCAATCCTGGATTTTTTTAGGTAGAGAGTTCCACCTTTGCCCTGGTTGCCTCTACTGCAGAGTAGCTGGGATTTCAGTGGTGCCACCAAGCCCAGCCCCCCGTCATGTACTCTCAGTAAGCCTGCAGCGGGAGTCTCCAACTTAACATTTCCCTGGTGCTAGTCATTATGTGAGTCAGCACAGTCTGAGGCAATCTTAAGAATGTTTGTGATTTATAATTTCCACCTAAGGCCCAGAAGTTTATGGGTTCTTTTGTTTTTACCTGCAGCGTTGTTCTTGTGTTTGTCCTGTTTTGTCCATGTTTGGTTTTATCATTTTGAAATTGAGAATTGCTTCTAAATCAGAAAAGATAAAAGAAGAATTGGAACTACAAGATACATGTGAGAGAGAATTATTCAATTCAACTGAATTGAATGAAGCGTCTACATACGACAGACATTGGGAATAAAATAATTAGTAAGGCCTGCCCCCACCCATCCCAAGTTTCACAACGGTTGGAACAACTGCCAAGTAATGTGTGGAGTGGAAGTTACACGAATGGAAATGTGTAGGAACTTCAGGAAGGAGCGTTTAGAGCTGCAGCAGGGTGGAGCTTAAGTGTCACTTAGCGCCACGCCAGTGTGCATTTCAGTAGAGTATCTGCACGTGTAAATACATGGGTGTGCAAACTGATTTGTGCAAGGAACAAGGCGTCAGTACTGTGTAATACTTGGCCAAGTATTCTCCCTCCCTCCTTCGGTACCACAGTGGCCTCAGGGCACGCGGGGCGGGCAGGGCCAGAGCTTCCATTCTAGCCAGTGCTCGGGGGAGCGGGGGGGGGGAGGGGGGGCGGAACAGCCGCGGGGGCTCCAGCACCTGAGCCCGGGGGGGGGGGGCCGGGACAGCCGCGGGGACTCCAGCACCTGGGGCCGTGGGGCCCGGGACAGCCGCGGGGGCTCCAGCACCTGAGCCCGGGGGGCCGTGGGGCCCGGGACAGCCGCGGGGGCTCCAGGACCTGAGCCCGGGGGGCCCGGGACAGCCGCGGGGGCTCCAGGACTTGAGCCCGGGGGGCCGGGGGGCCCGGGACAGCCGCGGGGGCTCCAGGACCTGAGCCCGGGGGGCCCGGGACAGCCGCGGGGGCTCCAGGACCTGAGCCCGGGGGGCCGGGGGGCCCGGGACAGCCGCGGGGGCTCCAGGACCTGAGCCCGGGGGGCCGGGGGGCCCGGGACAGCCGCGGGGGCTCCAGGACCTGAGCCCGGGGGGCCGGGGGGCCCGGGACAGCCGCGGGGGCTCCAGGACCTGAGCCCGGGGGGCCGGGGGGCCCGGGACAGCCGCGGGGGCTCCAGGACCTGAGCCCGGGGGGCCGGGGGGCCGGGGGGCCCGGGACAGCCGCGGGGGCTCCAGGACCTGAGCCCGGGGGGCCCGGGACAGCCGCGGGGGCTCCAGGACCTGAGCCCGGGGGGCCGGGGGGCCGGGGACAGCCGCGGGGGCTCCAGCATCTGATCCCGGGGGCCGGGGACAGCCGCGGGGGCTCCAGGACCTGAGCCCGGGGGGCCGGGGACAGCCGCGGGGGCTCCAGCACCTGAGCCCGGGGGGCCGGGGACAGCCGCGGGGGCTCCAGCACCCGAGCCAGGCCGTCGGTGACGGCGATCCCGCGCGACGCGAGCCCCACCTCCTAAAGAGCCAGGGAAGGCGGCGCGTCCACAGACGGCGGCGACCTGCGGCCAGCGGGGAACTGCCGAAAGGGCAACGCGGCGCCCCTTGACCGCCTGGAGCCCCGGAACCCGAGCGCTCCCAAGCGTGGCCTCCTTCCACGCCCGAGCGCGCGGGCAAAAGCGAGTCCGCGCCGTCGCGCCGGGGCCACGCCCCCGCGCCGCGCACGCGCTCCGGCCAGTCCAGGCGCCGCCGAGCCCGCCGAGCTGAAACACTCTAGTCGCTGGCTTTTTAACGTCACGCCTCCGACTGCTTCCGGGTCAGAGGTCCCACGGCCCGGCGTTTCGTGAGCGATGGTCCAGCTCCGGCCTCGCGCGTCCCGGGTGCCCGCGACGGCGGGGGCGATGGTGGACGAAGACCCGCCGTCCTCGGAGGAGGAGGAGGAGGCCGAGCACGGCCTGCTGCTCGGGCAGCCCAGCAGCGGCGCGGCCGCGGAGCCGCTGGAAGAAGACGGGGACGAGTCTGACGACGAGGCCCCCGAGGAGCTGACGTTCGCCAGCGCCCAGGCGGAGGCGCGGGCGTCGGAGCGGCGAGTGCGCGAGACCGTGCTGAGGTTCGCGGCCCGCGGCGGGGCCGGGGCGAGGCCGCCCCCTGCCGACCGGCTCCCCGCCCCGCGCTGACCCCGACGCCCTTTCTCTCAGGGACAAAACGCTCCAGAAGGAGAAGAGGAAGCGACGCGAGGAGCTGTTCATCGAACAGAAGGTGAGAGGGTGGAGGGCGGGTGGCGTTCTCAGACCCACTGGTGGCACGCTGTCACTACCGTTTCTTGCGACCACGGTGAGGAGTGAGATGCCTGTTCCCCGCATCTCCCTCAGCCGCGTGCAAGTGTGAAGTAGGAATTAGGTCCGTTGGGATCTCAGCACCGGAGCCTCGCAGAGAGAGTTTCGTCTTTAAAGAAACATTGGAACTGCATCTTGAGAATTGAGGTGGCTCCTAATGACAACACTCTGTGGTCTGATGTCTGGCACTGGCCACACAGATTGGCGATACCTTTGAGCCTTGCGGGTCCAAGCGGGGCACTGGGGGTGGCTTACTGTTGGCAGGCGTTCCAAGTCTAGAAAATGTGGGAAAGGTTCTGAGTTTCGTGGAGCCCTCTCTTCCCCTTTGGGGGGTAGTGAAAGCAGTGTTTAACCTAATTGTCCTGATGTTGGACTGTCCTAAAATCTCAACTTTAAAAGCAACTCCAGACACAACTTGTGTGTATCAGTTTTAACCTATATTAAAATGTCTTCTGTTCCCAAAGAAAAGAAAACTCCTTCCAGACACTGTTCTAGAGCAGTTAACATCTTCAGAGCCTGAGTAAGTAGTGAGTCTTGGATTACTTTACCACCATCTTTGAATTACAGACTGGTACAGACATTTGTTTAGATCCATATAGTTGTTACAGGATGGGAAAGATGGGGGTAAATATTCTACCACATTTTAGCGTCCCTTATTTCTTTTGGCTCATTCTCATAGGTAAATCTCTAGCATCTGAGTTCTAGATCCTGATGTGTTTATTCAGTAAATTTTGGTGAGCACCATTGCACTTTTGGGCAGGTAGATGAGTAAGAATGTTATACTTGCCACCTGCCACCCATCTGCCCTCCTCTGTTCCATGTTCATTCAGCAGTTTTGCCACCCACTCAAGTGTTTAAAGGTAGAAGCTATAGTTTCCTTCTTCTCTTCCAAGGAATCAGTCAAGCCCTACTGAATTTACACTTTAAATGTTTGAGGTATTTTTCTATCCCCAATGGCTCCCCATAGTCATTTCTAAGTTCAGAAATTGTCTTTTATTTGGCTACTGATTCTGCCCTTTTCAGTAAATTCCCCAGAATTATCCAGATCTTTAATACATAAGTATACTAGTGGTCATTTGGTTTAGCCCTTTTCACCTTTCAAGAAAAGTTCAAGTGTCACCTCATTTCCCACTCCTATCCTCCTTTGTGGCCTTTGTTCTTTGTTAAGTGCAAGTTGCTTCTACATTGTATCACATTTTCTCAACATTGGTCAGTTGATTAGTGCCTTGAGGCTTATCCTAGTCTCCAGGACGAACAGTTCTTTGTAATTCTCCCAAGTATAATGCGACAGACCTTTTATTTCTTATTTTGAATACTGTGTTCTGTAACTATTAAACACCATTCTGCCTTTGCTTTCAGACTAAAATTCAGAAGGATACATTCTCATTCTAGTAATTAGTTGGAAGATAGGGAAGAGCTGGTGGCAGTGTATAAGGTAGTAACTTGCTTCCTAAAACCATTGGGAACAGTAAAATGTGAGGATAGTGGTACCTGTAATCTTACTTGTAAAACCATGTGAATATAATGTTTTAAGTTGCTTTTTGCTGTTCGCCATTCCAACCAATGTTTTGGATTTTATCTTTTTGTTTTCCTCAGCATCAAGAAGTCACCAGGAAAGTCGAAAGAAGGTAGGAAGTGTTCTGATTTAGATAATTCTCATTTATGAAGCACATTTGCAGATATTTTCAGTTGTTATCAACACTTTCTTAGGAAAGAGCTGATTCCTCCGGTTTTTTACAGTTAGAACTTGCATCCAGATTGGTATATCATGGATAAAGTCAACTCCAGTAGATGTTGACTTATTATAAAATGGAGCTTATTTCTTTTTAGGTAATTTGGAAAAGAAAACTGAAGGCTGTAAAAAAGGAAGCAATGCCAAGAAAGTTAAAGTACAAAAAGTACGGTCTCTCAGGTAATTTGTGTTTTCCTCACAGATGGGATGTACAGTTGACCTTTAAGTTTTAACTTATATGAGCAGATTTAGTAGCACTTCAGATTGGTTTCTCTGTAGGAAAAAAATCAGTTTGTCTTAATTATGTAAACAGCATACTTGCCTACCGTACTAAAATGTGAATGTTGTCTATTTCTTGTAAAATGGCCTGTTATTATCTATAATTGTGTAATTATCAAAGAACAAGACTATTTCAATGTTTATGCAAGGGTGGGTGCATTTGCTCAGTAGAAGAACTGCCTTATGTAGCACATGTGAAACCTAACATTTGATCCTTAGCATCACCAAAACAGAAAAGCTGGTCTAAAGCTCGCTGGTAGTTGCCCAGCATGTGTACGGTGATCCAGTTGCTTATGGGCTGAGGTTGTGGCTCAAGTGGTAGAGTAAAACCCCGGAGTTCAACACTGCCATTTCCCCCCCCCAAAAAGTTGCAAATAAAAGTATGCATCCTTATTTGACCTTTTGATCACCAGCCAGACTAAGAGCTACGTGGCACTGAGGCTAAAAGACCAAGATCTGAAAGATTCAAGGCAACAAGCAGCCCAAGCCTTCATACAGAATTCTCTGTATGGTCCAGGAACCAACAGAACTACTGGTAATTTTCTTATAGACTATTTTTCTCAACTTTCTTCTAAACTGAATAGTACAAAGTTCTTTTCTCCTCTTTTTAAAATTTTTAGTAAATAAGTTCCTGTCACTGAACAACAAGAGGTTACCAGTGAAAAAGGCTGCAGCTCAGTTTCTGAATAATTCTTGGGGTAAGATACAACTTAGCTCTGACAATTGTATATCCATGTAGAGACTCTTTGAAGAAATGTTGCATTTTGTTTCTTGGAGTTATTTATTAAACTTATTAAACAAGTTTTAAGCTTACTATTCTTAATATATGAAACTTTCTGTTCTAGGAACCCAGAAAAAACAAAATGCCAAGAGGTTCAAACAACGGTGGATGGTCAAAAAGATGAAAACTTCTAAATAAATCTAAGCTAAAGCTAAATGAACAATCTGTAGTCTGTATGTTTAAAAGTTAATAGTGATAATAAAAACCATGAACTGGGCTGGGAATGTGGCAGAGTACTTGCCTAGCATGCATGAGACCCCGAGTTTGATTCCTCAGTACCACATAAAAAGAAAAAGCTGGAAGCCACACTGTGGCTCAAGTGGTAGAGTGCTAGCCTTCAGTAAAAGAAGCTCAGGGACAGTGCCCAGGCCCTAAGTTCAAGCCCCAGGAATGGCCAAAAAAAAAGAACTTACTTGAAGTTGCTGAATGCTTTGAAATGTTCCCAGGAGTAAGGTATTTTGAAAAAAGTACAAAAGATCTTAAACGGTACGATGTCAGCCAAAAAATTTTATCTTTGTCAAACCAAAGAATCAGATTAATCTGAATAGCTTTCAAAACTAAACTTTGAACTAGTTGGGGGCTTGAGTGACAAGTCTCATGTGTCATGACTGTGACAATAAGAAGGTTCTTTTCCTGTTTTCTTCTGCTTTGTGCTTATTATCAGGTTTCTAAAGAGGCCATTCATCTTTAAGGCAGTCAGTTATATGGTAAAAAATAGATTAAAAAATCACTGTTAATTGCTCCAACTTTTAAGACATGAAAAAGTATGTAAGTACCTGATATATAAACTCAATTGACACTAAGTATCTGTAGAAGTAAATTTTTAATGGCTGGTTAATTATATCACTACATTTTTTATTGCAATATAGTACTCATTTAAGCACTTAAAAATGGAAGGTGTACAAAGATTAAATTAAGACACAGTAAATTGACTAAATATTTGGTTTTATATAAATAAAGGTCATAACCACACTGTTGACATGTAATACTGTTATAATACAACAGTTAAACTTGTGAGTCTACAACAGAAGTCATCTGTAGTTAAACAGGAAACAAAGTTGAAAAAGACCAGGTTAAAACAAAACTACTGGGACTAACAGGTTGGGATTGTAAGTAGCAACAAACATATTCACTCAGCTCCTGAGTATTTCAAGTTTTACAGTACACATTAAAAATGATTTCTTCCATCAACACTATAAATTCAAACTGTCGGATGTTTATGCATTTTGCAAATTACACTGATTGAATGCTTATATGGGAGTGGGGGGGTCGGAACATCTCCCAATTTGAAGTTCACATCACCCACATGCTAACACAAACACAACTTTTCCACTTCCTTCCCCCTTCCCCCACAAAGAAGGCAGGATTTTTTTTTTGGTTTCTTTTAGGTAATTGTTTTAAAGGATTTCTGATGATCAATTTGAATGTCTGAAATTCAGTAATATTTAACTCTTAGACAACTAAGAGGTTAAAGATGGAAAATAATTTCTCCTAACACTAAGTTAGAAAATCATTTGCATCATGCTGTAAACTAGGAAGCAATGTAAAGCGACAAAAACCTGTCCCCAGTACATAATTAAAAAAATCTAAATTTCAAATCAGCAGAGCTGCTCTATTTCCATGTTCACTAATGCCACAATATAAGTGCGCTCTCGAAATGCATAGCTAGTGTAGGTAGTCTTCCACGGTGGCAAACGCACAGGATCCAATTCCTGATCGAGCCATCAGTCCTAGACATTGTGTGGCCTGTCCCATTGCTAGGGCAAGTGGAGGTTGCTTTGGCAGATTGTGGGTTTCTGAGGAAAAATGGTTTAAAAATGGAAAAGGCAATTAGGAAGACATTTTTAAAAAACATCTCAGGAAAATGGCATATATCCTACACAATTTACCAGATGATTTCTATGGCTTTCGCCTACCCCACTAGTACAGGTAGGTGGATGCTTTGGACAAAATACTGACAAGGCAGTGTAGCCACTAGATACTAACGTGCTAGCCTAGCCGTAAGTACAAGGCCTTGAGTACTACCACCATCAAAAATATCTCTTGAGAGTTGATAGGAACTAGGCAACTTTGCTCAAAATCAAGCACCACAGGTTTGTTACTGTAGTATTTGGGCCAAAGAAGGCATCTGGTTTTAATAACAACTTTCATTTTCTTTTGACATACAAAACAAATACACATTAGGTAGTGGATATATAGGTGAGCCTATATAACTTAATACTTAAAAATTCACATTATATACAACCTAAATGTCAGTACTGCCCCAAACTAGTATGTTACTGAATTTTATAAGAACAATAAAGGAAAACCAGTTCTGATCAATTCATCAGACAAAATGAATTAACTAGAAAGGTTCTAATACCACTACAAATTCATGCTCTCCTTTCTCAGTTTGACTGTCCAGGTCAGTGCCAAGTTAACTTTTAACCCATCCTACAATTTGTATTGAGTTATATTTCAATCATTTCCCTGGCTCTAAATCCCTACCACTTCCTGCAACTTTCACAACTTTTGTCCCTGATGATTACACAGAGAAACAACAGGACATCTTTCTACTGCGTCCATAATCTTTCCAACACTGGTCCAGCAATGAACAATTTAGCCAAACCCTGTCCCTTAATTCCTAGCCTAGAAGTAAGTGGCAGAATATACTTTTCACTGAAGAAGGCTATAAAGTAAAGTCTTTCATGGGCAAATATTTTTAATTTAAATACCTCGTTCTAAATGAGAAGCAGACATTGACAGCTCCCAGAAATGCTTACATACATAAAAAACCTATCCAAACATCCTGAAGCCCCCCAGTCTGCTTTTATTCCACTAGAATCGTGTAATCTGTGTTTGATATAAAGGAAACAAGTTTCTGTACTTCAACAAAAAAGCATTACTATTTTACCAAAATAAATGTTACGAGAAATGCCCTCAAATACTCTTTAAGAATCTTGTTAGCCTGACTTTTGGTTTTACTTGCCTAATATTGCACTGTTGAGAGCTGAGCACACAGGTTCTCTCTGAATTGGATCAAGTTGATTTCCAACTGGGCTGTTCCAAGGATCTGAATATGCTAGTAAACTGAATGCATCCTGTTGAAAATAAGCAGTTTGGTTTTCAGTTCAAATATTTCAGTTACTGTGCTCACAATGGTTCCAAGTTGAAAAGAAGGCTCTATATCATTGTAATCTTTAAACCCGCTTACTCCTGCTTCTGGGATGTTCTGCATTTCCAAACTACAGTATGCAAGCAAAACTGCCTTTTTTTCTTTGCAATTTTTCTTGTGAACAACCATCTGTATTCACCCCTTCCCCATTCCTACAACACAAATAAAAGGCAAAAGAGTTACAACTAATTCCAAAGGAATGACGAATATGGATTAAAGCAGAAGGGGAGGTAAAACATGGAGATGTTTTACCATTTGTTACCAGTGATAGGACTGAAACTGAAAAGATACAGCCCACTTACAGTATTTTTTGTTGGCTTGTTTTATTACATAGTGGATGAAGGAGCTGGGCAATCAATAGCATCTCAATAGATACCATCTCATATTAAACTGGCTCCCCCTCAGGGCTTCTCTTACAACTACACTAAAGCTACTCTTAGAATAACTGACAAAAAAAATTGTCTTTCTACAAAATCATACACTGTGGTGGTTTCAAACATTAGGTTCAAATCAAAACACCAAATCATTCATTGTGTACCTCTACAAGTAACAATCTCTCTAAATGCTAGTTTCATTTGTATAATGGGAGATTTTAAGGAGATCCTAATTTCAGGTCCTATGAAGACCAAATGAAGTTCTTAGCAATGTCAGTCCATGCCAACCTTTCAATCAATGATGTCTTGTTAGTATGCCAAAAGTCAATATTCTAGTCCAGAGTTAACAAACACAAACACCCACCACTATTGCTCAAGTCATCAGATTTTACTCCCCTTACCCAATATTATTCTTCAGTGTTACTACTAAAGTAAGAGATGAGGGCAAGACATTTGGTCAACTACCCAGGCCATGCCTCATCCACACAAATGTACATCCACTTCATGGTAGATACACAGCCATCGATGAAGAAACCTGTTCAGCCAGTTTCAAACTACAAAACAATATGTATACCTCTAAATAAACACATATGGCTCCTTAGTGTCTTATATATTGCTAAATACTTCATCCAGCTGATTCTTCTGCCCCAATAAAAGTTCTATGAAGAAATTGCTGTACTATTTTGAATCCTCTAACAGCAACGCATTGATGCTGGGTACAGGAAGTGTCTTCAAATACCTCCATAAGACCTAACGCTTATGGCACTAACTATGTTCCATGCATCCCAGTCTACTTGAAACTTACCGGGTAAAGAAAGTCCTATATATCTTATCTGTAAAGTTAGCTCTAATTAATCCATTATTTCCAAAGACTGAGCTTTGCCAAGACTTAAATTTACCCTGTAATCACAACCATCTAACAAAGTACCATTCAAATAGTACAATTAAAAAAAAAAAAAAAGAATCTGTTCAATGAATAATTGGTAATTAAAATCTTCAATATAAAACTTTCTTCATCATGGACCCATATCTTGATACACCATCAGAAAGGTAACATGTAGCCTCAAGTTGTCTCAAATCGCATCACCCTCTAGGCATTTGAAAAACTCACAGAAACAATAATTACAGTACTTCTGGGAGCACTAAATTGTGAGTAGCCGTTTCAAGCACTAATGGATCATGTCCATACTTCATAACATTCTGAAGCTGGTGCTGGCCATGTAAAAAGAGGCTAATGGAGGCAGTGAGAACTCAAGGTCACAAAGTACTGTACTCATTTAGTAAGATGCAGTTTCTCCTAATTAGCAATCTGAAAATTAAAAGGAACATGTTTGTATTCGGTTGAACACAGATGCCAGACAGGACATACAGTGACCAGAAACTAGTCACTGCTTCAAGAACAGACACTCACAGGGGGAATGAAGAAAGGCAGAAATGTAACATTCAGTGTACTAATGACCTAACAGATTCAGAGCACATGAATTCAGGCTGAAAGAAAAACTACAGTTAGAACCAAGGGTAAAGACCTTAGACCCTAAAATAAAACCTCACTAAAATTTCCACTGTAATTTTTTCTTTCTTTTTTTTTTTTTTTGGGGGGGGGGGGGTCTGGTCATGGGGCCTGAACTCTGGGCCTGGACACTGTCCCTCAGCTCTTTAGCTCAAGGCTAGTGCTCTACCACTTGAGCC